ATTGTTATCTTAAAAAGGAAAGTGTGGTTTGAGACACTCATATTGAACTTTGGCTGAGCAGAGTCGGAGGTCAATTTGTGAGAGGGTCAGGTTGTAAGTGGAGAGCTCAGTGTCAAGCGTTATGACTGTCTTTAAATATTGGATGCTCTTTCGAGTCTCTTCGTCCAACTGTAATTGACTAGACTTTTGCAAATTGGTCTTCTCAGTTTCAGCATCTTGGATCTTCTTTTGCAGCACCTCCATTTCTTCCTTCAAATTGGAAATTTGATTGTCTAAGGCAGAGATAAGACTATTTTCCAAGCAAAGACTTTCCTCTAGCTCCTCTTCACGTTGATTTGACTCGCTAGCCAACTTCCACACGTTGGATCTTTCAGTGACCTTAGGTGCCATCTTAGCCTTAAGGTCATGGCGACGTTGGTAATCAGCCTGTATTTGGTCAAAAAGAGGACCAAAAGCAACTTGGAAATTGACCACCTCAACGGGGGCATCAGGCACGTCCATCTTCTTCAAGAGAGACTTTATGTTGTATCCGTAGATGAAGTCCTTTTCTAAAGTTGCAAAGAGGTCAATGTCCCCAATAATATTTTTCAACCGTTTAAGAATAGAATCAAGAGACTCATGAGCAGAAGTTCAGCTAGACATAGTCGAAGAGCTAAAGCCTTTCTTTGTGGAACTACTTTTTCTCATCAACATCATCTTCACATAAGCCCAGGGATCACTTGCTTTCAGCGCATCTAATTTTGCCTATGAGAGGGGAATGATTGCTGGAGGGGTCTTCTTGACAGTAGGGCCATTTGCGTATCCGCTTCAGTATTGATCTACTTGAGTTTTGTCAGTAGTTGATAGAGGTTGTTCATCACCAGGGTTGGTTTTTGGATAGTGTTGCTCTAGGTTCATATGGCCTTGGTTCTCTTCAGATGAAGTCGAAGAGGAGGAGTCAGTAAGAGACAATTTATTGGTGGAGTGGTGATAGGTAATGTAGTCAATATGTTTGTCAACTTCATATGGAATGACTTTAACTAGAAGGTTGTAGAAGTGGAGAACTATTGGTGGGTGCAGCTTCTACAGTCGAAGATATCTTAGTTTGTATGGTTAGCTTATCCTGCAAAAAATAAGGTGCTTATTAGCATTCAAAGTAAAAACAATAATAGGCAAGTCAGAGTTATAAGTACCTTCAAGATTTCTCCATCAGGGCTAGAACTGGCACTCTCATTTGATGCTAGCATTTTGGCCTCTGGGTGACCTTCAATACCTTACCAGCAGTAGGTTTCTTCCCCTGTTTGGTTTTGGGAATTTGAGACACTCTAGGACTAGTTGGGATTTTTTCTTGCCACAGTATTCTTAGCTTTCTTCTTATGTGGGGATGGATTTAGATAAGAGTCTTCTGCCTGGACTGGGTCTGTAGTCGCGGCTCCAGATGCACCTTCTGCAATATTGTCATTGACCTGCATGAAAAAGAGAATATAAATAAGCAAAAGTGAGAGCAGCGGAGTATCATAGATGTTTGTGGTTGCGACTCATATATGAGCAGGATTAAACGAAGTCCCTTCAGCTTTAGATTGATTAAGCAAAACCTCAACCCTAACAGCTTCTCTGGTCCTTTTCTTGTACTAAATAGTTGTGATAGACAAAAAAAAAATATAGACTTGCTCAAGGTTTAGAGATTTTAAGGATAAGTGGAAAATAAATATGGAAAAAGAATGATATGCTTCCTCACCCTCGTGTATGGGGATTTTGACCCTGACATTATCCATGTCGACATGAAGGTGATCTTTGAAATTGTATAGATCCAGCTTAGTCGGAGTAACACGCTGCGCAGACTTCAAACACTCATTTTTGTGTACCTTCAAAAATTCCTCACAGACAAACCGATATGGAAATGGAGGAGCGAAGGCAAGAGCCATGTCGCTGGTTGGAAGAGGGGGGAAATTTTGGAGTATAGAAGTTGAAGGCAGAAATGTATTTGTCTGTGACATAAGCGAGGAAATTCAAATTTGGAAGCTTTGCCAAAAGCTTATATTTAAGAGTCCTAGCCGCCTCGTTGATCATTCATTTGGGTCGTATACAGTTTCAAAGTACTTTTGGAAGGCTTGAATTTCTTTGATATGAGTCTATCTACCTTTCTTGAATTTTTAAAGAAGAAAAGGCGTCAGTGAGATATTTGCGTATGGTGGCAGCATCCATGAATTTTTTAATGTAGTATTCTTTCCACCAAGTATCAAAAACTGAAGTGTAATAATAATTAGGCTTGAAGTTGAGAAGGTTGAGTTGGGTTCGACCATCAGCATGTCAAGTAAGGCGTTGTAGCCATTCATCTTCAGAATAATTGACAGTGTTGAGGCATAACTCACTCTTCTTTTTGAAAAGTGGACGAGGGCTAGCTTAGTTAATTCAAAACTGGTGGGTACTAGGTTGGGTAGATAAGGTACAATCCTCACATGTTCTTTGTTGGACTCCAGACGAATTGAGAAGAGCCTGGCCATCAAGAAGGATAATTGAATTCTTTTGGTTTCCTTTTCTACTTCATTGTCGCTGATTACCAAAAGTGGTCGAGTAAACCATTATGGACCATGAGTCCTTTTTTTTGCAAACAGAGCCATGGTAGGAGTGAAATTATAACGCTTAGAAAACATCATCAAGTAAGAGGAAAAAGCGTCTTAATTTTCTCTATTATTATCAGCGGGGTTAGTAGGTTCAGTCGAACCCCTTCGCTTGTTCGACCACTGATAGTTGGGTCATTGTCGTCGGGATGATTGACCTTCAAAGAGGTTTTAAAAGTAGAAGTGAGCCACAACTGAAGGAGCTAAAAGGGCCCAGTCAACAAGAAGTTATCATTAGGTTTGATGTTCCTAAAGGCTTCACTTGTTTCTCCTAAAGATGTGTATAAGGACCCTAAACTCAATCGGCTAAGACAAACATTTTTTCTTCACGTAGCCGGTTTGCAAGGGTCAGGTACCTTCTAGCTACTTTCAATGACTTGGAGCAGAATACACACCTAGACAACCACAAGGCAAAGAAGGTGATATGTTCTTTAGCAGATACTTCAAGTTCGTCAGAATTATTGTAGTCTGCTACGTATCGTGTAAAGCCAACACAGTTGCCATCAAAGTTGATGCAACCGTCATCACTTTCAGTAGGGTCGAAATCGTCCCCATCTGGGCAAAGGCGGGCGAAGGCCAGTGATGGCCTCCACATTAAAGAGTGTGAGCGTTAACATTCCACAGGGAAGTTGAAAGGTATTGGCCGTGCTCTCCCATAAATAGATGGAGGCGACAAGCTCTTCAAGATTTGGTGGTTCTTGTACATACTCCTTGTTCCCTACCACAGTGGTGTTGTTTAATGCATAAGCTTGAGGAACAAGCTCTTTGAATGCTTGAGTGCTTTTAGTTGAAGGTGCCATTGAAGACTTGAAGGTGTGATAAGGAAATTTAGGAGAAAAGTTTCTAAAAAAATGCTTTCGTAGTTGAAGAGTTTCAGGTCAAAATGGTAAAAAAAAAACGTTGAAAAGTTGAAGACGGGTTATTTATAGGGAGAGGTAAAAAACCCTAGTTTCTGCTGTTGAGTTGCACGTGAAGAAAAGTTAAACGTGGTATGGTAGTGGAGGTGGAAGTTGGCGAGTGCTCTGTGCAAACCTACCCTATCCTACAAATCTGGCGCCATGATGGTAAGAAGTGTAGAAAATGACAAACGCACGTATTGAGGTGCGGTTGAAGTGAAAGATCAAAAATGCCCTTAACTCCTAAGAAGAAGTTGAAATAGGCCTTTTCTGGGGGCAATTTGTTAGTTGAGATTTTTAGCAAATAAAGGAAACCCAACAAACAAGGGCATCCATTTAAGATTCTTGGGTCGACCAAGAATTTGGACTCAGAAGATTTTTTGTCGTCATGAGAAGAAGTCGACTAAGGACTTTCATCGACCATGTAGCCTGAGCGACAACAACAAAGTGGCCGATGAGGTAGTTATTTAGGACCACAGTACTATGTTCAAATGATAATAACTGCCTTAAAGTTTATTCTTGAATGGACGCGTGGAGGTACTTATGAAGAGAAGTTACATGCAAAGCTTTACCTAGCGAGATATGATGGAAGAAACGTTAGGAGTAGTTATTTTCATATTTGTATATATAGTAGTTTATTATGTTAAATTAAGGGTGTTCAATTTGTATTACAAAAATCTCACTACAAACTCAAAGTACCAGCGTTTAAGAGAAATGAGTAAATTGCTGAGAGGATGTAAGAACATGTGAAACACTAGATTTTTACTTTTAATGAAACTCGTTTAATTTATGTGATTTATGCTTCATTTTTTTCCTTTCCTTTCTTCATTTCAATTTAAGCTTTTAACTTTTCTTTAAAGTTTTCAGTCTTTTCGCTTAGTTGTTACTTTCTTGCAATAGATAGCGTTATAAACTTAGGTTCAAAACAACATTGTTTTTCGACCAAGTCGAAGTTTCTACATCTCAAACATAAAGAAATCAAGAATAGGGAGATTATTATGCACAATGTCCTAGGATTCACTAGTCGATCCTGCGAGTAACCTATATTTTAGAGACCAACAATTATTTACTATTTTTTAGGATAAACACATAGACACTACAAAAAAAATTCTCTGTTGCCACGTGATATTCACGTCACAATATGAAAAATCACTTGACACCAGATTTTTAGCGACAAGATATTTCACGATCTAGGAGCACGTGTGGCAACTCTGTTGCATCATGAAAATCACGCCGCAACTTTGCAACGTGAAAACCACATCGCAATATTCTGCACAGATTTTCCAGCTTTACCTGTTATAATTCAGTAGTAGCAGTGATGGTAGAAAAGGTGTAAGTATGTTGCAACGTGATTTTTAATTAGACTTGGCAAGTTTGTGAAGAATTCCAAACACTGATCAAGAATATTTCAAATTGACTTTGCGGCCAATAATCTCACACACATTGATAATTTTGAGTCCGATGACCCATCAAGCAATGACGTATTCATCTCATTCAACAACTACTAAAATCTTTGCGCTTCCTCATTCGACAACTCTTCCCCAACAAAATCTCCAAGTTTATCATAGGTCAGGTTCACACCAAATGCATCGCCCACAATCTCACCGCTCAGATTAAAGTTTTCCCCATGTTCCACCGGTGATCGGCTACTTGAACCATGAGTATTACTGGTCTCTGGTACTCTACTTGGCATTTTTTCTTCATTATATGTCAAAACCCAATAATTTTCAATGAAACCCTTTTTCTTCAAATGACCTTCTACTTCCCCTCGGTCACTAATTATAGGTGTGCATTCACATTTAAGATAAGGACACCTTACTTCTCCTTCGCTTCGACAACATTCCTGAGAAAATGCCCACGTGATAAAACTTTTATCTCCTTCCTCAAAATTTGGTTTAAGTTCACCTCTTCCTGAATACAATCTATCGTACATCCAACTACGATAGTACCTATAATATTTCATACTGCACATTTATACAATCATTATCATTTTATTTAAAATTTAATTTTAATATCTACTTACTATAAATACTATATTTTATAACTATGCTTAATATATTGACTTACTTAAATAAAAATATTACTAAATATATTACTTACTTATAATATATTTTTTTACTGAATAATATATATATATATATATATATATATATATATATATATATATATATATATATATATATATATATATATATATATATATATATATATATATATATATATATATATATATATATATATATATATATATATTACTTAATAATATTTTTACTTACTTAATATTATTTACTTAAAAAACTATATAATTTCTCAAATTATATTTATTATTTAAAATATATATACTTATTCAAATTATATTTACTTACTTATCTTAAAAATATATATACTTATTTATATAAAATCATTACTTAATAAATATATTTACTTACTTATTATATAATACTTACTTAAAAAATTTTACTAAAAAAATATATACTTATTTATTATATAATACTTATTAAAAAAACTATTGCTTATTTTTAAAAAGATAAAAATATTGTCTAGGTCCTTTAACTTATTTTAAAATATCAAGTTAGTCCTTTAAAATTTTTTTTAACGCTTTGGTCTATTATATTAAGTAACGTTTGCGTCGTTGACTTTTTAAAAAATCTCTGTTACAATAAATAGCAAACTCGTATACTATTTGAACTAGTTTTTCGCGCTAATCACGAATATGCAATCAAAGTGGACAAAAACATAATGAAAAATCACTCGATCCGACCAAAATACACAATCAAACGCAAATTTAATTACATATTCGTGATCAGCGCAAAAAACCAGTTCAAATGGTATATGAGTTTGCAATTTATTATAACAGAGATTTTTAAACAGGTCAACGACGCAAACATTACTTAATACAAAGGACCAAAGCGTTACAAATATATATATATATATATATATATATATATATATATATATATATATATATATATATATATATATATATATATATATATATATATATATATATATATATATATATATATATATATATATATATATATATATATATATATATATATATATATATATATATATATATATATATATATATATATATATATATATATACACACACACACACAAATATTATTTAATAAATATATTCTTAAAATAATTTACTTATTTATATAAAAACAATACTTAATAAATAAAAAAATATATTTTTATTTATAACTTAATATATTCTTTTTAATCTATTATATATATTTTAAAATATTAAACAAGTCTAATAATATATTTAATGCTACATTAAATTCGGAAAAATAATATGCACTATTTAATATATTCCATTTCTTTTTCTATAACTATAATATGTATTATGTTTATTCTTTTTAAAATAATATATTAATTTTTTTAAATAAAATAAAATAAAAACATAATCCTGTTTATTTATTCTATTTATAAAAAAAAAAATACATTAACATATTTGTTTATTCTTTCTAAAAAATACTAATAACCTAAGGCATTGTTTGATAAAAATAGCGGTTAACTGATAAATTAGCTGATAGTTTATAACTTATGACTGATAGTTGGTGGCTGATGACTTATAGTTGATAAGCTAATTGAAGTGTTTGGTAAAATTAACTGATAAAATAAAATGATATAAAACATATTTAATTATTATTATTTTATTTTAAACTATAATAAATTATAAAGGATAGTGATGAGTTTTAGTTAAAATAATAAGGGTAAAATTAGAACAAAAAATGATAAGTTATAAGCTAAAAACACTATATAAAGTAGCGTCTAGAAAATAAGTTATAGGCTAATAAAATAAGGCATAAGCTCGTGATGAAAAGACATTTATCAAACAAGTCTTTTATTATCATATAAACTTATAAACTATAAGTCATAAGCTATAAGCTTAAAAAATATCTTGCCAAACAAAACCTAAATCTAACTATCAATGAAGCAAACTTACAACATAACAACAAACATAAAATAAAAAAAACATCTCTGAAGAAAAAAATATATAAATGCAAAAACATCTCATTGAAGTAAGAAAATATATTTTGTGAAGTAACTTCTTATTTTAATAATTTAAATTAAAAAATAAAAATAAAAACAATATTATTAACAAAATAAAATTTAATTGACAGAAAATTAAATAAATAAATAAAATATAAATAATTGTTTACCATATTAAATTTGAAGAGATAACATATAAATAAATTGAGGTTGGATGAAAAAAAAAAAAAAAATATGAGTATGAGTTAAAGAGGAAAGAAGAATTTTGAGGGGTGTTCTTCTGCGTGTTAAAGTGAAAAAGGTGAAAAATGAGATTGAGTATGGAGTGGTGCGGGTGAGAATAGATAAGTGAAATAAATATGAAATCTTGTGTCATGAATTTTACGTTGCAACTTGCGACGTGTTATTCATGTGACAATAGATTATAATTGTTACGTTGTGATGCGATTTTCACGTTGCTAAGGTTGGCTAGACACAACAATCATTTGAATTTAACTAAGTCATCAACTCAATCAGACAATATTCTCACGTTTTGTTTTTTTTTTCCTGAAAATTTAATTGCGACACGATTTTCACATTTCAACGTTACTTTTTAAAAATTCAAATTTTCTCTATGTGTAATGTTTGACTAATTTTTTTATTTATTTAAAAAAAAGTTGCAACGTGTTTAATACGACACAATTTTTAAAAAAATAATCTAAAAGTGTTTTTCAATTTGAGAACATATTTAATTATTAAAATATATTGTGAAGTGAAACAACTCTCTTTTTTTGCCAAAGAGATTATCACGCCACTATATATCATGTGGCCGGAGAAATGTTTTACTGTAGTGAGATAATAGATGAACTATTAAAAAAATATTAAGATGAGAGATATTAAGAGTGTTCACGAGTCAATTTAATTTGGTTTTGAAAAAATTTGATGCCCAAAACCAATAAAAAATATACAAATTAGTTTGAATTGGCTTTTCATATTTTTTTCAATAAAGTCCCATTTGAATCAAACCGATATATAACTAATTGATTTGAATTGAATTGATCGACTACATTAAAAATAAATTATGCAAAATATTTTTTTAAATATTTAGTTTACATAAATTAATTTTTCATAATAATATTCTCTCGTCATTAATATATAAAAAAATTTTACTCTTTAGATTAATTGACGTATTTAAATTATATATAATTTAAATACATTGATTTTTCTCAATGAGACTAAAAAGATATATATATATATATATATATATATATATATATATATATATATATATATATATATATATATATATATTAAAAACAAAAGGTAGTATAAAATTCTTAACTTTTTCATTTTTCCATATAGGTTTTTAATATTTTTTTTTTTGAAATTGAATATCGTATATTTATTTCATAATAATGATGATATATATATTATACAAATTAATTATGTTTCTTCGTAGAATTTTAAAAATTGATTGACTAGACAAATTAACATCTAGTTTCAATAATTCTATTTGATTTTTATCCAACCTAAAAGAATATCCAACTCAAACACCATAATTTAATTTAAATTTCAATTTGACACAAATTTGCCTTAACAAATGAAAACATAAAATCACCAAAATTATCTTAAAGATAGTGAATAATCTCCCACATTGATCGGTGTTTTTTTCGAGACACCTTGTTATCCTTATTCATCATCCCAATACAAAATTTATTTCAACTACTTTGAATCCTCTCCATACAAAATTTATTTAGTAGATTACAAAATTATTACATGCAAATATTTACTATTGCAAAGTGACTAGTTAATGCCAAATTAATATAAGGCTCGGGCTATCGAATGTCCTCTGGCATTTGTCAAAAAATTCAAATAAGAAAACAAAAATTTTAAATAAGAAAAATATGTTATTTTCAAATCATTCAATATATATAATATCTTTAAAAAAATTGATTATTTTCCTTTTCAAAACACTTGAATACATATATATTTAAAAAAAAAAAATATTTTTAATCTATTAAATAATACTATTTCCGTTTTTATTTATAAAAAATAATTTAATTTTTAAATTTATTGAATAATTAATATATTTAATACACAGATCAAATATATCAATTATTTAATAAACCTAAAAAATAAATTATCTCTTATAAAAAAAAAAAGTAATACATAACTTATTATTTTAATTACTTAAGTATTTCGGAAAACACTTTTAGCATTTCCCTTTAATATAAATATAGGCTGTATAGATATACTATTTGTTCTGTGCTTTATTTCCTTCTAATCAAACTTTGTCTATAACCGATCAAGAAAACACAAACAAAAACCAAAGAATGATGAAAGAGAATCAAACAGTGATCATTGTCGGAGCTGGCCCTTCTGGTCTCTCTGTTGCAGCATCCTTAACAAACCAATCCATTCCTTACATAATCCTCGAACGAGAAAACTGTTTTGCATCTCTATGGAAAAAATATGCATACGATCGTCTTCATCTTCACCTCAAAAAGCAATACTGTGAGCTTCCACACAAACCATTTCCACCTTCTTTTCCATCATACATTCCTAAGGAAATGTTTCTGCAGTATCTAGAAGAGTACGTATCTCACTTCAACATCAATCCTGTGTATCATAGGACAGTGGAGTATGCGGAGTTTGATGAAGGTTGTGGAAAATGGAAGGTGAAGGCTGTGAATAAGGATTCTGGTGAAGTTGAGGAATATGATGGAAGGTTTTTGGTTGTGGCTAGTGGTGAAACTAGTGACTCTTTTGTGCCGGAGATTGAAGGGTTGAAGAGTTTTGGTGGAAAAGTGATGCATTCCACTGGGTTTAAGAATGGGAAAGAGTTTAAAGATGAACATGTTCTTGTTGTTGGGTCTGGGAATTCTGGTATGGAGATTGCATTGGATCTTATCAACCACGGTGCTAAAACTTCGATCCTCGTTCGAAGCCCGGTAAATTTTTTGTACCATGTATTCTATCTGATATATAATAATGTCCAGATACATCATTTATATATTCAATGAATCATAAAAAGTTTTTGTTGTGTATAATAATATTAGAAAATGTACGGAATTTAATTATCTCATTACTCTTATATCTATTTACGAACTCTGGAGGTGAAGAAAATGTAACACATTTATAATAAAATTTTAAGACTATTTGTAATGGAATTTGCAGGTTCATATATTGTCCAAAGGAATGTTGAATTTAGGGTTGTTTATGATGAAGTATTTGTCAATGGAGATTGTGGATTCATTAATGGTGATGCTTAGTAAAATCTTTTATGGAGATGTGACTAATTATGGGGTTGGCAGGCCTAATGAGGGACCTTTCTATATGAAAGTTAAGTACGGCAAGTATCCAATTGTAGATGTTGGAACCTATCAGAAAATTAAATCTAAAGAGTTAAAGGTACGTTAAATATGAATAATGAATAATGATATATTCATTATTTTTATAGTATATGATTTTATTGTATCTGTAAAGTATACAAATATAATTATTGTTGTGACGTGACGCATCAGCATTGTGAATGTGTTGAGTAGGTGTTGCCAACGGAAATAGAATGCTTAAGTGGCGGCAATAATGTGTTATTCAAGAATGGTGAATTGCATGCTTTTGACTCTATTGTTTTCTGCACTGGCTTCAAGAGATCAACACATAAGTGGCTTAAGGTGTGTAGCTTTATTTTATAACATTATTTTAAATTATAATTAGATGATTAATTTTAATTATGTTTTGGTATATAGGGAGATGATTATCTTTTGAGTGATGATGGTATTCCGAAGCAAAGTTACCCTTTTCATTGGAAGGGGAAGAATGGTTTGTATTGTGTTGGATTATCAAGGAGAGGTTTGTATGGAGCTGCTCAAGATGCTGAAAATGTAGCAAAGGATGTTAGATCCATCATGCAAGAAATTACTATATGACCATACATGTGATTATTGTCATGATCCTTGATTAGCTTCAAATGGTGTTAGAGAGTTTAGAGTATTAGACATTTGATATTATTGTACTTCATCTTATTTGAATTAGACATTATTGTACTTCATCTTATTTGAAAATGTTTAATATCATAGAGGAACATAGAGTGTTCCATTTTGTTTAAGAACTTTTTTGAAGAATAAAACCAGTGGTCTAACAATTTAAGGCTCCTTTTGGGTGGATGTGAATTTTTTATTTTTTATTTTAAAGTCAATTTTAGATTTAAATTGTTTAACAAAAATTAAGTTTTTATTTAATTTCAAAATAATATTTTTATTAAAATTTAAAATAAAAATAGGTTTAGTCTAAAACTTAAGATACCACCACAATCATTGATTCGCATTGTGACCACAACTACGATCACATTTAACCATTGTCGATCACTATTTTGACGACTGTGACAACCATCAAGCACATCTGACTTCTACTCTGATCCCCATAAACCATCACTGATATTAATACCCACTACCGACTACTACCACTTTGACGACCATAAATCACCATTTTGATGGTTTCAAAGACAAGAGGAGGTGAATTATGATTTTAAAAAATTGAAGTTTTAAATAAAAATATTATTTAATTTATTTTAACAAAAAAATGAAGCAGAGTTTAAGCGTGGAAAATTAAATAACATAAATGTGAAAAAAATAAGAGAAAGGAAAGAACACACTAGAATTCATATTTGTTCAACTTTAAATCAGACGATCTATTATAGTCTCCAATAATTTCCCCTTGAAAATTCTACTAACGATATAGTTTTTATCACATGATCAACTCACAACCTTTTTTACATCAAGCTATTATCTTAGGTTATGTGTGCAACTTTTAAAAGATATTAAAGTTTACAAGAGAACAACACTCTCTTGATTTACAATTACAACTCCAACAAATTAATCAGCTACTACAAAATAATAACATGTTTCGTTCTCTCAATATTAAAATAATTTAAGTGAATATGAAATTTCTAAGATGAGGGTGAGAGTAAATGAAAGACTTATATTTATATATTTCTTATGTGTTTTGAAAAGAGCATGAGTCCTCTATATATAGTAAAAAAATTGGTTGAGAAACAAAATATTTTGGATTGCATCCACATCATAACCAATTAAACTGCAACTCTAATCAATTATGACCTAATAAAATACATTTGTTGGATATATGAAAGATTGGTAGCAAGCTTGGTATGCCTCCTTCCTATAGCATGCAGAGATGTAGTCAGCTGGGTTTAAAGATTTACTCTACATGCAAGAAATTGCATGGTAGCATGGTATGCGAGTTAACATCAAACTCCTACAAGAACACTCCAACCTTCTGAGGTCAACTGTAAATTTTTCACCAGTCAAACTTGTATGCCTCACTTCATAAATCATGTCACCTGACAACCTTTGAAACAAATTCAATTGATTGAGTTAGTGTTGGTAAAATTAAAAGAACATGTTTTGTTAATGACTAACTTGTAAATAGATTATGTACTTTGGTATAAAAAAACTAGACATCTTTTTCCTTCTTTCAAGTAATTTTTTAATTCTTGGAAGAACAGTGCTCCACAATTTCCTCAAAGGCCTAGTCCCCACAGTCCTCCACATTATCCTCAATAACCTGGACCCCACAGTCCTCCACATTATCCTCAACAGCCTGATCCCCACAGTCCTCCACATTGTCCCCACAGTCCACCACAATATCCTCAACACCCTGGTCCCCAAAGTCCACCACATTATCCTCAACACCCTGGTCCCCACAATCCTCCACATTATCCTCAGATTATGTTTCAGGTAAGGCAACAGCTAAATCTGATTCCTCAATAGGGTGGACTATATATATGTCAACCTTCCCCTTAGTCTTGAACCAGTGCAATGCTTCTAATGCACCAAAATCATCTTCCAACGCCTTCAAGGTTCCAGCAAAGTCATACCACATTTCTTGAACTCTTGGATACTTCATTTCTTTAACAACCCCTAAAATTTCAAAATAACTCCAACTGTCGCCATCCCACTTCCAGTTTGACACTTCACCTCCTACATATTTGTCCTCAACGAAATACCCCTGTGATGAAAGTCAACGTAAAACTCATCCATAACCATTATGTTCCTATATACATCAACCTAAAATAAGAAAAATACCCTACAATATAAACTAACATTACTTATAACCAACATTAACCTAACCATCAACATAATGTCAATATGACACAAGTGTGTGTAACATTAACCTAATCATCAACCTATTCGAATACAAGACGAAGAAGAAGAAAAACCATCATTGACTAGATATACGTACCTGACTGTATCCTGAGCGCAATGGATTCTTCACCTTCAATGTACAACGAATCCTGAGCGCAAGACGAAGAAGAAATTTCACCAACAATAGGGGAAAGAAAATTAAGGTTCTGTAATTCTTAATTTGTAAGAGTCGTTGCTTAACTACTTAAGGGAAATCACAAATTCCACATCAGCAACCCTCTAAGACACTTCATCAACGTTACCTGTTACTTCATCACCGTCTGTGCCACATTGGTTTTTTTGGAACGGAAAATCTTAAAAAAATTAACGTTGTAAACGTTAATTAATTTAAAAGACTAAAGTGTTTAAAAAAAATAGATTTACATAACTAACTTGTTATTTTAAAATAATTTAAAAAAATTTGACGATATTTTTGTCTTAATTTATTTAGTCTACTCATCTAAAACACACAAATTATAGTTCAAAAAGTGAATTAGTGGGATGACAAGCCCACAACTCTAATGTTTCTACACAGTAACCAATTGAGCTTATTTTACAAGAAATTAAAATTAACTAGGCAGGGTAGTTTAACAGATATAAATTGCTGCTATGTTCATAAACAAATTCTAGTTGAAATTTATAAATTAACAATTAAATTAAACACATTTAATTTTTTATTTTATAAAAAAAATCGGAATTATGCGTTGACCTTGGACCAAACCTGATCGACCAAACCTGATCCAGAAATAAATAAATAAATAAATAAATAAATAAAAAGAATAGAATGAATGGTTCATATTGTTAATGCCACTTCCAGTGCACTCCCTTTGCAGTTTTCTTATAGTGAGGAATAGAAGACAACAATCACTATGATAATGATGCAAAGCTTGAAACTAAATCTACTTCATTCCACAACTCTATGTCCCCGCAGCATCACTCGTATCACCCCATTCTCATCATCCTTCTCCATTACCGTAACACTCACTCACCACCAACAACAACCCGCTTTTTCTTCTTCATCTTCTTCACCTAAAATTGTTCACATTACTCGTACCCATTCACATTCTCATTCATTTCCAGAACCCGATAACGACCAAGTCGAAGACCTCCGTGTTCCTCCCCATTGGTCACTCCCAACCAATGCCTCTAAGGTACTCTTTTCTTTCGTCCATCTTCAATTTTACAAGATTTACAACTGCAATGTTCTTTTAAGAATTACTTGAATATTGCTATAGTTAGTTAGAGTTAGTTATGATTAGTCAAAAATTTGTTAGAATTAGTTGCAAGTTAGTTACAAATTAGTTGCAAGTTAGTCGTAAATTGATTATACTAATGCAATTTAGTTATCCGTTGTAAGTTAGTTACAAATTGGTTACACTAAATGAGATTTTGTTATCAATCGTTAAGTTAGTTACAAATTGGTTACATAGATCAGATTTAGTTATAAATTATATAAGTCTCATTGTATCACTTTAATGAACAACTTTCATTTTGATCAATACAAAATTTATGCATGTTGTAACTAATTTGTAACAATTCCAGGTTTGTGTGTTTTTGATTGTTTTTTTTTTGTTACAATTTTTAGGAATCAGAGTGGCTTAGGGTTACTTTGCATAAATGGTTGGATGATGAATACTGTCCTGAAGAAACCAATGTGGAGATAAGCAGAGTTGCTGCCAAATCCTATTATAATTCTTTGATACAGAAACAAACTGATTTGAGTGACATTTTGTTGAACATGGCACGTGAATTGGAGTCTATTTCTTATAAGGAAAGTTTTCATGGTGCGTTCTCGTCTGCAAATGCTGCTGTTAGCCTTATTGCTCAGCGGGTTGAAACATTCTGTCATCCAAGTTGAATTTTGTAGCTCCACATGGTTTATTTTTTCAATGTTAGTAGGAATGAATTCACTTCTTCTATTGTATAGTAAAGTCCTGTAACTTGTTTGTTTGTTATAGAGTTGCATAACTCGCTCTTTGATGGCTCTTTCATGTAGCCGATTTAATGTTTGAAACCTCTTGACTTGTGAATTTTATGCCATATGGTCTGGTCTTTATTTCAGTTTTTTTTTCTGTGCTTGTTGAAAAATTGAATGGATCTCATGAAGCATTGTGTATATTCATGTTATATTTGCACTGAAGTTAAATAAGCTGGTATGTTTATACAGCTATAGATAAAGTGGAGTTTATTGTTATCATTCTGCTTTAGGTTGTTGTCGAGCAACAGATTTCCTTTTCAGTATGATCATATATTCACATAGAAGTTCTCATGTAAACTGATGGTCAACCTTCAACTCTTTTCTGGAATGTATTCAAAAACTAGCATTCAGCTATTGAACCAAAATGGGTTCTCAGAGAGTTTAAGATGACAAAAGTTAACTGGAACTTTCTTACTAATGAATTAAGTCCTTAAAGCATTAGCAAAATATTGGGAATTATGCGATGAAATCTATGTCAGTATATTCTAGCAAGGTATATTAGTAAGCATCAAAGGCCCTACATGGAACTTTTTTATCAACAAATTGGTTATCAATAATGTGTAGTTATCAAACCTAATTTTGAACTGTTAAACTATGATATGATCATATGAAGGTTGATATGCCAAAGTCAAAAAGGTTGATATGATCATATGAAAGTTGATATGCCAAAGTCAAAAAGGTTGATATGATCATATGAAGGTTCATATTCTTGTATATCAATATAAGAACTAATGAAGAACATGAATTGACTGCGGTACAACACAGTTTGTATTGTGTTTATTCTGTTGGTGAAGAAAGTTTCTGGTTCAGGAAACTCCTAATATACCCTGAACAAACTTCTACTGCATTTGATCTGGTGCAGGAAACTCCAAACTCTTAAAAGATGTCAAACCTCCATCCACAACTAAATTATGTCCATTAACATACCTAGCATCGTCAGATGCAAGGTAAAGTGCTGCGTTAGCAACATCACTCGGTTCACAATTTGCTCCTTTTAGTACACCAACATTACGAACAATTTCTTCAAGTCGCTGAGACTCAAGATGCGGATATATCTGATTCATTTCGTTCATGACGAAAGGAGTAGGTATGGCAATAGGTGAAATACAGTTGATTCGGATTCCATGCTTACATAGCTCTGAAGCTAAAGATTTAACAATGCCTATAACCGCAAACTTCGATACCGAATAGGTATGTTGTGCCATCCCTCCGATCACACCGGTGACACTAGCAGTGCATAGAATGGATCCAGTTCCGCGCGGAATCATTACTCGTGCAGCATGCTTGATCCCAGCCATAACACCGCGAACATTAATGTCCATGACTTTGTCATACGTTTCTAGATCAAGATCAACAATGCTTGGAGGAGTTTTGCAGGGTATCCCTGCATTGTTATACATGATATCAAGTTGTTTGTATTCAGAAACCGCGAAATCCACTGCATTTGATATGTCTGATTCTTTCGTGACGTCGCAAGCTACAAAAGTTGCATTAGGTCCTAATTCTTTCACAGTCTCTCGGCCATGTTGTTGGTCGATATCAGCTACGATTACTTTTGCTCCATTGTTGATGAATTTTGTTGCGGCTGCTTTTCCTATTCCACTAGCTCCCCCGGTTATCAGCGCCACCTTGTTTTCTAACTTCCTGGATTACCACATCAAATGCAAATCAATTAACATTAAACAACAACGATTCTTTCGATAACATTCGCGTAATATTAATAACATTTACTATGCCATACCTTCCAGTCTGAGTAGACAATAACCTTGCATAGGGAAGATTTTTTCTGTTTTTAACATAAGCAGAAATAGAGTAAGCTGAAGAAAACTATTCACAACTTCATGAAAAATTCATTAGCAGAATCGAAGGTTATAAAAATAAACTAACAAATAACAATCACTCAGTGGATTATTAACCAAATTAACCCTGCAGAAGTTGAAAAACACAAGCAGAACATCTTATATAGATAAAGAGAGTAAATTAAACATAGAAAAGATAAAAGCAGAAAAATGAAGTGTGAAAAACCAACCTCAAGCAAAATCTTAACATGATTTTCTGCAGAAATGAATCAGATCTCACACAGAGGGTAATGTAGTTTGAGTCTTCGAAAGTGATTTTAAGTGCTTGTTACAGAGAAAAAATAATTACTGGAAGGGTAATTTAGTCAATGAATTGATACTTTTTAGGATAAGATTCATGAAATTAGAATCAGTATAAATGCAAAAAGGGGCATTCCGAGAATTGAACTCGGGACCTCTCGCACCCTAAGCGAGAATCATACCACTAGACCAAATGCCCGTTTGATGTTCACTTTTCGCATATATTATATTTTTTATTACTGCTTTTCATTTTCCCTCCAAAACTGAAATTCCGCTTCGTATTTCCATTCATAAATCGTTTGCTGTGGTTTTTCATCTTCACTTTCATCAATAGTTAACAACTTGATCACAGTTTTAGGGTTTTACTTCGTTTTCACTCTCATCAAATTTATCATCAATTTGTACTATGAGTTTCACAAATTGCTAAAAGAAAAAAAAATAGTGAAAGGATTTTTCATTCTAATGGCGAACGCTAAACCTTCATCTGCATTTGATGGTAATTTTCGATTCATCGATGCTTTGTTTTTCGTTTTCTTTTTTTACTTCGATCATTCATTTCAACATTGATGCTTGTTGAGATAAATCGTTTGCGGGTTGTTGTTTTATACCGTTTTGATTTTTCTTATTTTCTTTAAGCTTTGAGGTTTGGTCAGAAACTGCGGTTTTTTTTTAATGTATTGTAGCTTCTTCTTGATTTTTCTTTAGAACTGTTATACCTGATTTGATGGAAGTAAAATCGAGTTTAATGCACATAATTTGATCAACGGAGTATGTTTGATCATTGATGTTGTATGAGGATCATCCATGGTGGTAAAATATGGACTAGGTTGATTTGGAAAATGTAGAAGTTTAGAAGTGATTGTGAATAGTGAATGCTACTGTTGATTCTATTTCTGCATGTTGTGTATTATGGGATTTGTTTTGAACTTGTTTATGTTGATAAGAATGTTGATTCAATATGGTTAGGAGATGGAGTCGAAGACGCGAATGGATGTGAGAAGTATGAGGAAACGGTGCTTTTTGAGGATACTTTAGTTATTCGTAGTCCCTTCACAGAAACTGAGGTGGAAATGCCCGATGTGAATGATACTGAGATTGTAGAGGATTCGGAGCCTGTAGAGAATTTGATAATTGATGCAAAATGTGAGTATGAGACAGAAGTTGTGCTTGATAGTGAGGATGAAGAAATGAATAATGCAGGCAAAGTGACTGTTGGTGAAAGATTTCTGGAGGATGAAAGTACTCCAGGAGTAAGCAATTTGTCAGTGCTCTTCAGGAAGAGATTGTCTAAGATACCGTGTGACTGTGAGCATGCAAGCTCAAAATCAAATGCTGTCACTTCTGGGAAATCTAGTACTGGTATGCATTTGTTTATCACCGATTAACACTAAGAGGCAGTTTTTGGTCTTTTTGATAATTATTGCTTCTTCTTTATTTGTGTGGTATCTCTGGAAGCCATTCTTGCTTTGATTTACCTTTTGTACCTTATAAATAACTAGTTTATCAAGTAGTTGTTTTTAGAGCAGTTCATGAATGATTGACTTTTCAAAATTATAATGTGCTTGAAGGTGATGAAAGAGCTTCAATTAATGCTGAGAGCTTTAATGACAACAACCATCTATATCACTCACCAGAGCATGATGATTCAACCCTAGCTGCTCTAGGCTTCGTGGATCAGTACTTGTCATCACTAGACATTGACCTGTTTCAAGGAGTTCAAAATGGAAAGATCACTAGGGAGAAATCACCACATGTCTCAAGTGCAAGAGGATCATTGAGTCTGGCTAAGAAACTTAACGCTCGAACTCAAAATGAAGATAAAGACCCTTTCAAATGGGCTGAAAGTGATCAAAGTAAAAAAGAAGCTGGTATTTTCAGTGAAAAAATTGAAGCATCTTTCAATTTTGGAAGCCACGGACTGACATATAAGAGAAGAATACAGAAAAAAGGTAGTCATTCTCAGAACCAAGGTAAATGCAGTGCAACTAATAGATGTGATGAGAATTTAGCCCGAGAACCAAGAATGGCAGCTGACAATAGTAACTCTCTCAAGGAATTGGATATTGTGTCCTCTGCCCCAAGAGAGAATGTTGATATTTATTCTAATGTAGCACGTACAGAAGACGATTATGATATTGGCTTAGACACTCAAATAGCTGCTGAAGCTATGGATGCCTTAGCCAATCTACCCCCTGCTGGCTTTCATTTCAGTGATGCTGACCAGTCAGAGAATGTGTCCAATGCATCTCTGAGTGATTTGAAACAAGCTCATCAGATAAATTCTCCATTTAAAGAGAATCCTGGTTCACAGCCTTTTGCACTAAAATCCTACAAGAGAAATGTGTCTGCTTGTAGATTTAGAAAAGTAACTTATAATTCCTCATTCCAGCATAAAAACGATCAGGAGGAGGGGATTATTAGACATAGGAGGAAGGGAAATTGTTTAGTGGCGGCATATCCAGGGAAGATAGATGATGTTAAGAAAAAACATCTTAATTTATATACTAGTTCATATGGTGTGGCTAAGAAGAGCAGTTTGAACCATCCGGTTGAAGTTAGACCACAACTATTTGCAACCAACAGTTTTTCAAAGACTGATTCTTGGACTTATCCAAAAGGACCAAGAGGGAAAAGAAAGCGAGCTAATGCTCCTAGAGTTTTGTGTATCGATGATAAAGAAAACAATGTGTATTCCACTAGAAGTCTAGAAAACCACGATGATCTTAAGAAAAAACATATTAATCTATCCTCTTGTTCATATGGTGTGGCTAGAAAGAGCAGTTTGAACCATCAGGTTGAAGTTAGTCCACAACTATCTGCAACCAGCAGTTATTCAAAGATTGATTATTGGACTTATCCAAAAGGATCAAGAGGGAAAAGAAAACGAGCTAATGCCCCAAGTGTCGTGTGTATTGATGATAAAGAAAACAATGTCTATTCCACTAAAAGTCTAGAAGGCCGAGATGATGTGCAAAAACCTCGTCTTCCACCAGTTTCAGCTGGTGGTGCTATAAAATTTGAAAACCTGCATGATATGCATCCCTTGTTGCTGGCACATGTTGAAGTATCATCAAACAAGTGTGTTGTACAGTCGAGTTCAGAAATTTCAGCTTCAGTTGCTCCAAGTGAAGGCATACAAATTTCCAATGCTAACCATAAATGCAATGAGCACCGCAAAAAGGCATGTGAGAAAAACCGGCCAAAGTCTTCACTTTTGAAGGAACTTGTCAGATTAGGAGCTCCCAAGTCCACGTCAGAAATGATGAACAAAGATCCGAGACATCGAAAAGATATGACAAATGTTCGAGTTCTATTTAGCCAACATTTGGATGACAGTGTCCTCAAGCAACAACAGAAGGTAAATTATTGCTTCTATGTATATGATAGGAGATGCTAAATGTCACCATTATTGAATAATAATGATTTTGTTATATCCTCCTTGCAGATCTTGGCGCGTCTTAATATATCTACTGCGTCAAGCTCAATGGAAGCCACTCATTTCATAGCAGACAAGTTCACACGTACAAAGAATATGCTAGAAACAATGGCTCTTGGGAACTTAGTATTGACACACTTATGGCTTGAGAGTTGTGGACAAGCCAACTGTTTTATTGATGAGAAAAATTATATTTTGAGGGATATGAAAAAGGAAAAGGAAATAGGCTTTAGCATGCCAGTTTCTCTTGCTCGAGCAAGACAAAAGCCACTCCTGAAGGTATTTGTATTATTATATAAACTTTGGTTATGCTCAAGTTTGTATGCACTCTTGCCTCAAAATCTAGTTGCTTGTCTCTAGGATAAACGAGTCCACATAACACCACACATCAAGCCTAATAAGGAGGTGGTTGCGAGCTTGGTTACAGCTGTTCAAGGCCAGGCATGACTATTCATCTATGCATGCCACTCTACTGCTGCAACTGACATGTTTCAATATTAGATATTTTGGATTATTTCTTTTGTTGTGTTCACTGCATTTTTTATAAATTGTTTTTTTGACTCTTCAGCTAGTGGATGAAAATCAAATAGTTGCAGACAAGAATGATAATATCTTAGATGATCTATTGATTCTTTCTTGTGAAGAAGACTTTGCAATATGCCGCCATTTCCTTGAGAGAGGTTTTGAATCCTTCCATCTTCTTGATGAACAATGCAGTTGTATTTTTATTCATGTGACATATGAGAAAGACTTAAATTTGCAGGAGCTTCTGTTTACAGTTCGGAGCTTGTTCTGAATGGAATTGTAATCCAGAAATTGGAACTCGAAAGGTATCACTTGATATATGGAAGTCATTTATTCTTAATATTGATGATGTGAGTTTTGGATGTCATTTGGAACCTGATATATTAGCCTATTCATACAAATGTCTTCCACTGGGATGAACCTTACATTTTCATTCTTGGCAGTGAAGTTATATCATCTCTAAAGTGAACAAATAAGGCTATATATTTACCCTTCAACTTTAGTGTGTTAAGACCACAATGCACTTAAGGGTGAAAACACTCGTGTTCACTTAGATAAATTCGCTTTGAACATTGTATGTATGATTTAGGAGTCCATTATTCAGCCTTGGAGAATAAGGAAAACGCATGGTATTCTTGATAAATTGATCATTAACGCATTATCTTGACAATTTTGTTTAAACTTTACATTGTTGTGAACTTTATCTTTGGCAGGCATAAGCTGTTTGTGAATCAAGTCTCAAAGAATAAACTAGGTAAATGTTGGTTTGGGAAGGTTTACAGAAGGGGTTTGAGGCCTTTATCTTGAGAGTAGCTGATTTCTGAGCAATATTACCATGCTCTACGGAATTGATAAAAACAATGGCCCTTTTTTTCTCAGATTGACGAACGGATGCTACTTGCTCAGTAACTTACAAGTGCAACTTAGTCTCCTTATTTATGTTGTTTTGAGGCATGCTCAACTTAAAGTGTCTCAAAATGACGGCAATT